AGACACTACGTCACAATTAGGGTTGTACATGAATCGACCGAAACTGGCCGGACCGGTTGAATCGTGTCGTTTTTAACGGTTTGGCTGGTTTCTATAGGCAAGGGAGCAACCGGCCAGTTTGTAAAATTCCAAACCGTAAGATTCAGTTTGGTCTGCGGTATATACTTCAAAACCGGCCGTCCAGGCCGGACCGGACCATATTTATATATATATATATAATCTATTTGTATATATATATATATATATATATATATATATAGAGAGAGAGAGAGAGAGAATAAATTCCTTTAACTTATCAGATGCGCCATTCCGACTTAAATGGTTAGTAACTTTATCTATTGTTTCCCTTGAAGTGCCAGGTTCGATTCTCCTTGCCAGTTTTTTTCTGCAACATTTTTTTTTTGCCCAATTCTAAAACCCCAATACGTGAAACCTAATTACCATCATTTTTCACCCTAAATTTTTCCTTCTCTTCGCATTCAGCTGCAGCCCTTCAAATCTACCATTTCTTTATCTCTTCCCCCGAAATCAATCCTCTCCACCACACCCAATCCTCCTCATCCCTCTTCTTCATCATCAATCATGGAGGTACCCTCATCTCCACAGCCTATTATCTCTCGAGCCCTTCCAAAAAAAATAATAATAATAATCTAGCCAAATCCAATTTAATAAAGGAATTGTTTCTCTCAACTGTTAAGGTGGAAAATGACAATGAAGCTGATGCCATGGAGTTGGATTTGGACGATTTTGAGGAGGAACTAATTGGTGACGATGAAACTGTTGAGGTCATTGAGGAAAAGGATGGAGTTAATGGCAGTTCGCGTTCCAAAAGGAAAAAGAGAAGCTCGCTTATATGGAAACACTTCACCATTCCAAAATCTGATGAGTAGCAGCGGACTTTTTGTAAGTATTGCAAAAAAAAATTATTCTTATAACCCTTCAAAGGTTGGTACTAGTAGTTTATGGAATCATTTTCGTACTCAATCCTCACCGAAATCTGGATAAGAAACAGAGTACTTTGTATTCTGCAAAAAAACAGTTTTGGGGGTGTAGGAAGTTTAACTACTGTTACTTTTACACAAGATTTGGGTAGGAAAACTCTTGCAAAGATGATTATTGTTGATGAGCAGCCTTTTAGAATGGTTGAAAAGCTTGGTTTTAAATATTTCTGCAAAGTTTTGCAACCTTAGTTTGAATTGCCATGTCGGGTCACAGTAGCTAGAGATGTGATTGAATTGTATGTGGAAGAAAAGAGAAAGTTGAAAGCATTTTTTAGTAAATGTTCGCAACGAATATCTCTTACCACCGATACATGGACTTCTATCCAAAACATTAACTACATGGTTCTTACTGCACATTATATAAATGATGATTGGAATTTGAAAAGGAGGATTTTGAATTTCGAAGTTATTTCTAATCACAATGGTGAAACAGTGGGGAAAATGATTGAATCTTGTCTGCTTGCATGGGGTATTGAGGGTATTTCTACCATAACCGTGGATAATGTGAGTTCTAATGATTTAGCTCTTGCCTACATACAAGAGAAGGTTATAAATTGGGGAAAGGCAGTTTTAAATAGTGACTTTTTGCATGTTCAGTGTTGTGCTCATATTATAAATTTAGTTGTAAATGATGGGTTAAAAGAGTATAGTCCTTCCATTCAAGCAATTAGAAATGTTGTTCGTTATGTTAGATCATCTCCCTCTAGGTTGCACAAGTTTAATGAATGTGTAGAACTTGAAAAGTTAGATGTTGGTGGATCTGTTTGCCTAGATGTTTCCACTAGATGGAATTCCACTTATTTGATGTTGGAATCTGCTCTAAAATTTAAGAGAGCTTTTGATCAGTTAAGAGGTGATTGGCAATTCAGTCGATTTTTTGTTGGTCCAAGTTTCCTTTTGCAAGAAGAAGATGCTCGTAAAAAGTATAATGTGAATAAAATTGTGCCACAATGATAAAGATTGGGAGGGAGCAAGGTATTGCATGAGACTTCTTCAGTTGTTCTATAATGTGACAAAAAGGTTTTCGGGGTCTTTGTATGTTACTTCAAACAATTACTTTCATGATATGTGTTCCGTTCATTCTCATATCACTAATTGCGTGAGGGATAATAATGTTAAGCTGAGTACTATGGCTTCGAAAATGAAGGAAAAATATGACAAGGATTGGGAAAATGCAAAGAGAATGAAACCTCTACTGTTTGTTCCAGTTATTCTTGATCCTCAGTACAAACAAGATTATGTTAATTGGAGTATTGAGCGTATGTATGGGCTGGATACAGAACTTGTGGGTGCAATGAAGGAAAAAGTGGATAATGCTTTAAAGAATCTCTATACTCATTATCTTAAAGAATATCCTCTCCTTGTGAAAGAAAAATATGTCCCTGAAAATGCTAATGTGGTTAGAAATGATGATATCATTGATCTAGATGAGCAACATTTGCAAGATTTTAAGTCATTTCTAAAATCTGGAGTTAATGCAGAAAAGTCCGAACTGGAAAGATACTTATCAGATGAGAAAGAGAGTATTGATGGAAAATTTGATGTATTGAATTGGTGGAAGTCAAACTCTACAAAATTTAAAATTTTGTCAAGGATTGTTAAAGATGTTTTGGTTGTTCTCGTCTCTACCGTGTCTTCGGAATCTGCCTTTAGCACCGGTAGTCGTGTCTTAGATCTTTTTAGGAGTAGTCTCACTCCTAAAACTGTCCAAGCCCTTATATGTGCATAAAACTGGTTGCGGAATGAAGACCCACAAGAAGAAATTGATTTACAAGGTGTTTGAAAGAGATTTCAAAACTTGTAGGGATTGAAAATGGTAATTCTGATTTTCTTTTGCATTTATTGACTTAAAGTATTTTACTACTCCCTCCTTCCCATAATTATTGTCCACTTTGCCCAAAAAATTTCGTCCCAAAATTATTGTCCAATTTGACTTTTTATGGATCAAGTTACACATTTGTCCTTAGTAAAAATCATTATCCATTAAAATCTTTGTGGTTAAATAATTACTTATGTAGGGGTATATCCGGTTGTTCAAGGTAAAATATAGTTAAGTTTGACTAAAAATAAAATCTTTCATTTTAGTAAAACTAGACAATAATTATGGGACGGAGGGAGTACATTTTATACCCGTGAAGTCTTAATATATTTTCTTCTCTTTATTTCTGTTCAGATTTTGCAACTTTTCTCAAATCTGCAGTGATAATGTTGAGTGACAGCATGGATTATGACATGAATTTGAAAGAGGTAATTTTAGTGCTAATGTTGGTTAGTTCTTCCTCATTATAGTGTTTTTTCTTCTTCTTTTTTTTTTTTTTTGTCTTTTTAATGGCTGGGATGTCGTGTTATGTTACTTTTCAGGTTCAAATATTGGAGAAAAATGCATTTGGTGGCAAAGATGACATCTTTTTAACTTTGTTTATTATGTATTTCAATTTATATGTATAAGGAGTGGGTCAGTGAGATTTGAATTTGCTGGTTTTTGTGGAGTGATATTGAAGGTTTGTGTGCAATTTTTAGGTTGTGATATTGCTGGTACTTTGTGCAAATGTTAGGCTATCATGTCATTGTTTTTGTGAAAACCTTTAGGATGAGATGTTGCTATTTCTGCCTCAATTCGAGACCATGATGTTTCTGTTGTTGTGCTCCTTTTAGGCTGTTTGTATGCCGCTTTTAGGACGTGATGTTGTTGGGTTTTTTTTGGCACTTTTTTGCCGTGATTTTGCTGGTTTTTTTGGCGTTTCTGGGATGTGAGGTTGCTGATTTTTCTGCCATTTTAGACTGTGAGGCTGCAGGTTTTTCTGTCATTTTATGATCTATTTTTAGTGTAATGTTGTTGTGATTGTGCCAAGTAAACAATTCTAATAATGCTGCCAAGGAAATAGCTTTGAAGTTGGTGGTTTTTGTACCATTTTTTGGCTGCGATTTGCCAATTTTTGTACCATTTTGAGGGTGTGATGTATGCAGCTTATAGGTCATGAGGTTTGTATGGTGTTTTTTGTTTCAAATTTGTGATGTTCATATTAAATTCGTGATGGCCAGTTCTTAGTTAATCAGTAACTTGACTGAGTTTTTTTTGTTTTTGATGTTCTGTATTTTGGTTATTTTTAGAGGTATAATTTTATGATAGTCAGTTGGGCTTGTAAATGTGCCTTTTTTAATTTTTATTAATGTTGTTTTGATGCCAATGTGTAGTATGCTGTTGTATTATGAATTGGGCCTATCAAACTTGGATCACGTAGCCCATCACAATGAGAATTTTAAAATTTTAAAAAAAATCAGAATTAATTCGGCCCAAATCGTAACCGCACCAAACCGAACCGTTAAATTACAGTTTGACCAGCCCGGATTTCATAACTACATTTGGCCGGTTTGGTTTGAATTTTTTCAAACCGTAAAATCCGATCTGGCCCATACTTCATCCTCCAAAGCGGCCAAACCGAACCGTACAGCACTAGTCACATTGCATTTTGTCTACATCGTATTTTATAATCTGTTATTCCTCTACGATATATATAAAATGCAAGAATCCTATGTGGTGCGACTTACATGGATTTTGTTTACTCACGCAAAGGAATTTTTTAAGACCAAAACAATTATTTAAATCAAGGCTTTTTTATATATCCAAATATATATAATCAAGGCTTTTTCATTTAAAAAATAAAGTGACGATTATTTTGCTTGACTAATCTTTTAACCTCCTAATTCTACCCACCAGGGCCTATCCACCTCCTTTGTTACCTTTTTTGCCTTCTTATTATTTCTATTTTTTTTTTTGGTCTTTTTTACTGTAGAGTTTCATAGGCAAATTATCTGGTACACCCGGGAATACGGTGTCCCCCCATGCGCGTGTACCTCACTCTCTTACAATAGCATTAGTGAGCCATTATAATTCAGCTTTCTTTTTCTTTTTTTCTTTTTTTTTAAACGCGGGGATATATAAATAACCGAATTCATTCAAATTTGTAAAACTTTGTGATAGAGTATTATTGATTGGAGATGGCCGGCGACGATCGAGGCGTTGAGGCGGCAATGAGAGTCGGGGATCGTGGCGTTGAGGTGGACTCGGCCGGCGGCGATCGAGTCGTTGAGACGGCGACGGCGTTCAGCGATCGGGGAAAGGCTCCGATTCCACCAGAGTGGCGAAACGGTGATTGGATTGACAATATGCTTAGTTCAGATCGAGTGATGAGTTATGTCGTTGATGATTCCGTCTCGATGAATGCGGATTGTAATGGTAGAAAATCCATCGAACAACCTTACTGTGCCAGTAAATCAACGCAAGGTCACAGTTCTATTGTAGATCAGCTGGAATCAGGTAATCAATCAAGTTTTTTCCACAGTTCTATTTTTGTTAATATGAACTGGATAAGCAGTTATGCTGTGGTGGATATCCAAACTCTTTTTACTGGATATCCACGTTGTTGTGCTGGATATCCAGCTTATGTGTACTGGTTATCCAACTGATACACATGCGTATCCAAATTTTATTTGCTGGATATCCAACATTTTTGGGTTGTTTATATTGAATTGGTGTTTTTTCACAGTTCGGAGTGTACTGTTTGTGAGAGAATAATGAATCTAGTTTTTCACAGTTCTGTTTTTGTTAATGTTATATGAAGTGGATAAGCAGTTATGCTGTGTTGGATATCCAAAATATTTGTACTGGATATCCACTTTGTTTGTGCTGGATGTCCAGATTATGTATACTAGTTATCCAACTGATTTACATACGTATCCATACATGCATACAAGCTTAGTTTCATGGATAGTCCATCTGGGATAAAGGTTTGTTTGACACTATTGTTGAATGTATGAATCTGCATATATCAAGTTCTTGCTCTCTACATTTATGGTATTAGGATAGTTGTCTGTTGATATCCAACTGATTTTTTGTTTTTCTGTTTGTCCCATTTTTTGTAAAAGAGCATATCAATCAGTTGGGGGATGATGTGATGCTGGATGATGCTTTGTGCATGGAAGTTACATCTGCTCTGAAGGGTGGGTTTTCTAACTTGCTTATATGGTTTAAATTTTTTTCCGATTTGTTTATCCAAAGGTTAATACCGATTATCCGAATGCACGGTAATGGTTATCCAACCTTCTCTTTTGTTTTTCTCGTAATGTGGAGAAGATAATAGCGGCAATGAATTGGGAGTTGATAATGTGATGTTGGAGGAGGATGCCTTGCACAAGGAAATTTCATCTGTGACGAAGAATAATGATTTGGCTGTTTTTACTTTAGTTGGTAAGATGGCAAGAAGTGAGAAAGAAGCTTATGATTTGTATAATGATCATGCCCGATTGATTGGTTTTTGTGTGAGAGTGGGAAAACAGAAGTTTAGAGGTAAGACCGATAAAGTTAGGATGAAGAAGTTCGTTGTAACCGCAAGGATACAAGAGATCAAATGGAAATGGTGATGTATGCCATGAGAGGGTTAATTTTCGCTGTGGGTGCCCAGCTTATATCCAGTTTACTGTTGACAAAGATGGGTTGTGGACCTGTACAAAGCATCTGGTTGATCACAATCATGATCTTGTGCCGAATGAAATGATTGGACTTCTTCGATCTCAACGTGAAGTAGATGAAAATGATATGAAGATAATCAGAGACATGACAAGGAGTGGCATCCCTTTGGTTGATGCATTTAAGTTTGTGGCAAAATTACACGGGGGAAGCCCGAACATGAAATATACTTTGAGAGATGCCTACAATTATGAGCGTCCTGCTGTTAGATTTGAAGGTGGGGATTGTAATCAGCTCATGAAGATTTTTTGGGACAGGAAGGAAACTGAAGAAGATTTCTTCTTTGATTTTGAGTGTGATGAGCAGGGTAGGCTGTGTATTTTCTTCTGGAGGGATGGCAGAATGCGAAAGGATTATAATTTGTTTGGTGACTTGCTTGTGTTTGATACAACATATCGAACAAACAGATATGGGATGATCTGTGCTCCATTTGTGGGTATGGATAATCATAACAAGAATGTCATGTTTGGTTGTGGTTTTGTGTTAAACGAGAAAGAACCCTCTTTTGATTGGTTGTTCAAGCAGTTTTGAAATCAATGGGAGATAAACACCACAAACCATAATGACAGATCAAGCACCATCCATTGCTGCAAGTATTCGGACATGTTTTCCAAGTTCTAGGCATCGTCTCGTGTATGGCACATAGGTGAAAATTCAAGAAAGCGAATTGGTTATTTAAGGAACAAGCCAGATTTTGTTAAGAACTTTAATTATCTGATGAAATACACTTCAACAGAAATCGAGTTCGAGGTATTATGGAAGAGGTCAGTTTGACAATATTTTTATTATTATTTTGATCATTTCCATGATTAAGAGTGTCTCTTATTTTTTTTGTTGTGTGGGTATGTGTTTGTTAGTGGTCATGTATGATCTTCCTGATGATTACTTATAGGTAGGTACGTTGTGTGGTAGGTACATTATAGAAGCACAACTTAAAAAGGCATGGATAACTAGTTTACTGATTGTGGATAACCACCATAATGTATGGATGACTAGTTTACAGATTCTGGATAACCAGCAACTATGGTCGGATAAATAGTTTTTAGCCATTCTGGATAACCACCCCTTATGGTTGGATAACGAGTTTACTTATTGTGGATAACCAGCAATTATCTCTTGATAACCACCCGTTATGGCTGGATAACTAGTAGAAAGGCTTTCTTGGCTGGATAACTATATGGATAATCTAACTATTTTTCTTTTTATGCATGTGTTTTATTTGTGGTGCACAGATTATTGGATGAGTATGATTGTCATGATGACAAATGGCTCAGTGGTATTTACGATGTGAGGCATATGTGGTGCCCTGCATTTAGCAAAGATTTTTTTTCTGGTGGTACCTTGTCCTCACAGAGGAGTGAGTCAACAAATAATGCAATTTGTCGTAAGATGAAGGCCACATCATCGCTTTGTGATTTCCATGGAATTTTCTCTGATGTTGTACACTGTTGGCGGGTAGCTGTGAGGGGTGAAGATCTACGTTGTAGCCAGGGAAACATCGATTCATATCTTCCCGGTGACCCTTTTCTGGAGAGCATTCGCAGAGAGTACACAGTTGAAGCATTCCGGGAGGTTCAGCAGTTGCACAAAGATGGGATGTTGTGCAGGCAGGAGCAGGTAGAGGTCTCAAATGATGGCAATACTGTGACGTACCATGTTTGGCGGTTTGGGATAGAGCACTTTAAGCACGTGGTTGTACATGACACTAGGTTACAGAGATTCTCATGCACATGCAGGTACTACTCGAGGCGGGCATGCTTTGTTGCCACATTCTTCGGATCGTCACGTAACCTCGTTGATGAGTTTCCTAAAGATTATATATGTATGAGATGGACAAAAGGTTATGGTGCCAGTCAAGCATAGCTAATGAGGGAGATGGAAAAGTTGCTGGCCCATTGCTGTGGAAGGCACTAATTATGAGACGATTTTCAGATTTGGTGTACGCAAGTGAATATAACAAAGATGCAAAGAAATGTTGTGATGAGGTCATTGTGAGGCTTAAAGAAGAACTCGGCAGTTTGATTGGTTCAAATAATAATGATGAGTCTCGTAGACAATGATGGTGTTATAAAGAATCCTACTGTAAAGAGGAAGAAGTTTGGTCCCGTGAACGAACGTCCTAAAAGCATTCTTGAGAAGGCATGTAACAAAGTCGAGGCGGAAAACAAATGCAAAATTGCTGCAGACCGAACAAGAGCTTCATTGCATCGGACTGCATTATCAAAGCATGCAATTTCCTTATCCAAAGGAGCTGCTCAACATTTTACAGCTCAGAAGTTTTTGTCTTGTGAATGATTCTCATCAAAGCGTGCCATCTTTGAACGTAAATTCCAGTGGACTCTCATTTGCTAATCCAAGCATAGCTGCCCAGCATTTTTCATGGGCAGGGGTTTCCACTTCTATGAATGCTTCTGATCAAAGCATGCCGTTCATCAACCAAAATTCCGGTGGATTCTCATTTCCAATTCCCAAGGGAGGTAGCCAAGAGTTTCAAGGCGAAAGCACTTCCGCTGCTGTGAATCCTTCTCATCAAAACACTTCCGCTACAACTTATGGATAACCAGAATGAAATAGGTGGATAACAAATGTCAGTATGATATAGATGGATAAACAGAGATTATGGCATGGACAACGATCACATAGCATACGCAGGAAACCATGGATAAATGGTTCAGATCTAGTGGAAACACACAAGATATTGCTGGATTATCAAAAAAAAAGGATCCCGGAGCAATATACTTACCATTCAAGCATGTATAGATGAAGGAGAGCTTGAGATGTCCGGACGTAGGGTTTCTTGCCGTCGTCTGTGTGTGTGTGTGGGTTTGCTCTAAATTGGAGAGTTTCCGTCGACTGTGTGTTTGTGTGTGTTTGTGTGTGTTTATGTGTGAGGATAAAAATGATGAAAATTACTTTATGTAAAGGTAAAAACAGTTAAGCGCGTGGTGCGCGTGTCTTTGGTGGGGGGGGGGGATACGGTACACCCGGGTGCACTGGATACAGCCTCGTTTCATACTCACTATACGTACTCCCTCCGGTCTTTAATATAACACATTTTGATTTTGTCTTATGTCTCACCTAGTATGCATTTTAATTGACGAAAAAATCTTAAAATTATATTTTCGCTTGTAGTATCATGATTGTTATGAAATAATTTTAAGGTTTTTTTGTCAATTAAAAATAAATACTAGGTTAAATGTAGAACGAATCAAAATATCTTATATTAAGGATCGGAGGGAGTATTTATAAGCAAAAGTCGGATGCTCTTTGAAAACAAACGTTTAGAATACTAATGCACTATACCGTGACAATTTGCATGTGATTGTACATGAGGAATAATATATATTATGCTTACTGCTTACAAACGATCAGAGTATTCACTGTTTCCATTAATGGAAATAAGTATGAAGAAAATTTATTAACTTACCAACTTACCACAAATGTTTCAAGTGGTAAAATTTAAATCTCTTAAAAACTCTATCCATATTATTATTTGAAATATTTCCTCCATGAGTGCATTATACGCAAACCTCTTTTGTACTGCATTAAAAGAACAATATACATAGCAACATGTGACAGTTTATCAACTATTTATTTCTAGCCCACCCTTCGAAATTGTTTATTTAAATTTCCAGCTCTCAGTTTTAGAGGTACTTCCCAATTATTTCGCATTATTATGAACTTCCAACTCAGTTTAATCGAATTTATTTAATATCATTGTCACTAAGATTCATTAACAATCCATTTTACTCCCTCCGTCCCAAAATTATTGTCTAATTTGAGTTTTTATTTATAGTTTAAATTATATTAAAAGTGAAATCTCAAAACTGGACAATAATTTTAGGACAGAGAGTAAAAATTATTAACGTACAGAAGGATAGCTCGTGGATTAACTTATTTCCTTGGGATATGAAGTGGCAAAGGCTGAGTTTGGTTGCACGGGGAGCCACTATTAGATTGACAAGGAGCCAGAGGGCTAGCTTTTTCTTTTTGGGACCAATGTGGGCCAATAATTATGGGCTAATTTAACTAAACTAGTACTTGGAAATCTGTTTGGGCTAGTTTTAGTATTCTTGTCCAGAGTTTCAAACCCGACCCAAATTTCTTTAGAAAGAACGAGGTCCAACTCATGTCTCCAACTTTCCGCCTTTTCCATCTCCAGTTCTCCAGACATGGCGGTCTTGGATGGAGACTTGAGAACTTTAAAGTTGAAATCACGTGGAGCACCACTATCTTTCATCAAACCCGCAAATCATTTCAAGTGGGAAAACAGCTGTGGAAATTCAAGGAAAGGAGGGAGCGAGCAATCCGGCGGAGCTTCAAAGGACGAACAGAGGGTCATTCGGAGCAATCCCCAAACAAGAAAACAGAGGTAATAACTGAGAATTAAATTGTTGCGATTGACAGAGATTGTGGTTTTCTATCCTTTTCATTGTGGATTTGGGAATTGTAGCTTTGAGTTGGATGTGTTTTCATGATCGGAGTTCCGAATTGAAACAATTGGGAGCTTATATTTTATCCCGAATTTGTCACCAATGAGACACTGTAAATGTTGAGAATGAACTCGGAATTCGCGTTGATGTTGTGTTTTTCATTTTTGTTATTGTTATCTGAAGTCTAAACTTCCAAGTACTTGTCAGGAACTAGGTGGAAATCATATATTTTCGGGATACAGTACGAATGGGCAACTTTCCAATCTCCATCTTCTTGCGACTGTTTTTTGCTTAAAATGGATTTGATTTCAATCGTGAGAGTTTATGTATGGTACTGTCCATCGTTTTTTAAAAGGGTTTGCACATTGTCCAAAAACTGGATTCCAGCATGACAGATTTTGATGCTGTTTTAGGAGATTAGTCTCTCCTGTTTGTTGAACTGTTTTCTGATGAATATTTTTTCTTTGTTTAATTGAGTTTGTACAAATTGCTTTATGAGGGGGTTGTGGTTTGTGAGAAAATTTGATGTGAACATTACCAATCAGTCACCAAAAATCTGAAATGATTTGGAATTCTTTTTTGAAGTACTGTTTTAGAGATCATTTTTCGTCTATTTATTAAATTTTTCTTACTGACTACTTGTGACTAAATTCGTCCTTTGTTTACCCTAGCTTACAACAGTTTTGATGGCTCGCAAATCAGATTTTTAGATTGATAAAAAAACGTGCTTCGAATGTGATGTATTTTCCACTCCATTTCTGTATTTCAGAGTTTAAGATAAAGCTTGATTTTGAGGCCTCAGTTTTCCTTGACCCCTTTTCTCAAGAGATTTTTATCATGTTCCTTCCTTTGATCATCAAAGTATGTGCTGGAAATTTTGGATTTTCAAAAGAAACATCTCTGCCCTTAGAAAAGGCATTTGAAACTTGAGGACGAGAGAACCCTGTTTGCTGAAATTTGTATGCTAAATGTTAATTTTTTTTGCTTTAAAATATTATGGAGTTGCTTACTATGCCATGTTCCTCGTGGAATTTCTTAAACAAGAATTCTGAAAAATGTTGATTTTGTTTTTAATACAATTCAGTTCTAATTTGGTGAAACCATAGGTTTTGCACCTAGGCTGTGTTTGTTGCATGATCTGAAGTTTTATTTGTGCAAGATTGATGCAAATGTGTATGCGCAGGGTTGGGGGTAAGGTATGAAATCATGGGCATGAAGCTTGGCTTAGTTGGAGTGACAATGCTTAGTATGAGTTCTTTTCAAATTATTTGCTCTTACATCTAGAATGGTTTTAGGGGTTTATTACTGATACCAAGCCTTTTGTTACTAGAAAGAATTCAGTTAGTAGAAGTTCTGAGTTGATTAGGGGAAGGGGTTTCAGAACCTAAAGTAATCCAACAGAGGCTTTGGTCATTAGAATTAAGTTTCCCCATTTTTGGTTTTTAAGTGAAACTTCTCACTTTTTTTTGGCAAGTCATTGCTAAATTTTAATGAAGATTGGTGTTGGATTTCATGATGCCCCTTTTTCCTGATTGAATCAGTGGGTTAGCTTTGTGTTGGACTGGCTTTCTAACTCATACTTAATCCTCCTCAGGCTATTAGTGTGAGCATCTTTCTTTTGCGTCAAAGATGTACTTATTTTAAGGAAAAAGAATCCAACTTTAGGAAAATCTGTGAGAAGAAGAAGATGCTACAGAGTAGAATCTGTTGCTTCTTTCTAATTTTGATGCTATTGATGGTGGATTCGAGTGAAGGGTCCAGAAGGTTAAGTGTGGAAACACAGGATATTGAAGTTCAGAAACTATTGAACCAATTAAACAAGCCTCCAGTGAAGACAATCAAGGTGAGCCATTTTATCATTGGTTTTAGGCGGCCTTACCAGATTCATCCTTCGCCTGTCTTTATGTTTACCTGAGAGATTTAATGCATTGATACAAATGGTTTTGCAGATTCCAGATGGTGATATCATCGATTGCATTCATATGTCCCACCAACCAGCATTTGATCATCCTCTGCTCAAGAATCATACCATTCAGGTTAACTAATCAGTCTATACTTTCTTAAATAAGTTCTACTGTGGCAAGAAGCTAAAAAGATCTTGATGGCTGAAAATGTTTTACTGGACTTTCCAGAAGATACCAAACTATCATCCAGAAAGTGTCTTTGGGATCAACAAAACATCCGATTTGGAAACAGATGCTAAACTAAGCACTCAAGGATTGCAGTTGTTCGGAAGGTGCCCTGAAGGGACCATCCCTAACAGAAGAGTAAAGCGGGAAGACCTCTTTAGAGCAAGCTCTTTTAAGGGGTTTGGACAGAAGAAACACGGAAGCATTCCTAAGCCAATGTCTACTTCTCCTGACACCCAAACTGGCCTCCAGGTACACAAGAATCAAGTGTTGAATAAGTAAATTCTTTCTCTTTCTTTGTGGTTGACTTTATGTTCTTCACTTTAATATTTTGAGTTCTTCAGCATGAAGTTGCGTATGTTGAAGGAGGAAGATACTATGGTGCAAAGGCAGCCATAAATGTTTGGCAACCTCAAATTCAGAAACCAAATGGGCTCTCCTTGTCCCAGATCTGGGTATTGGGAGGTTCTCCCAATTCTGATTTTGACAGCATAGAAGCTGGTTGGCAGGTAAATTTTGAGCATAACCATGTTAATCAACATAATGAAAGCGCATAAATGATGCTATATGGACCAATTATGGTTTTTTTATTTGCTTATACGTGATTTTTGTCTAACGATTTCCAGGTCAGCCACGATTTGTATGGAGATTACAATACAAGATTTTTCATCTCTCGGACTGTAAGTCATCAAATTATTACTTCTTCAATTATTGGTTGGTTGGCGCTCAGTTTTTAGGGTTTTTTCCCCGCACTAATTCAGCTTAGCACTTAATGTGTCTTCTTGTGGGCTTCTTGTGTTGAAAATTATGAATACAATGATGACTGAGTGATGGTTATAAAGAGACGGGATGTTACAACTTGCTTTGCTCAGGCTTTGTGCAAACCTCTAGTCAGATAGCTCTTGGAGCCGCTATCAGCCCAATCTCTACCTATAAGAGTTCACAATTTCAGATCGTTTTACTGGTTCAGAAGGTAAAAAAGCTTCTAACTACTTAGAAAGTGATTATTGGATTATAGTTGTTGGTCATTTTTTTCTAGGGAATTACGTATCATTAAAAGAATTAAGTTGAATATTTGCTGTCATTGTAACAGTGTCTCATTTCGTGTTCTTTTGTGTTGAATGTTTGTTTAAGGACATGTACAGCACAAGATTCATCTCCGTTTTAATAATGTGCATGTACTGTTTGAAACTGTCACGCAGTAATGGAATACGCAGCCAAGTCAGATATTCTCTTACAGTTGTTTTGTCTTGATGCTTTTCTTTTATATTCTTTAGTAGTGTGGGAAAAATCTGGTTGAAATTTGTATGGACAGGTTAAGGGGTGGTAATTATTGGTTCAAGTTGTCAATATAATTTTCACAAAACAAATTATTCCAACATGTTATATGATGTTGGTATTACAGTGTAAAAAATAAGAACATGTCAAAGGAGTAACGTGTGCTTGTTTTATGAACAAAGTAAATTTGGATCAACATTTCTTTTATGTATTACATATAATCTTATTCATCCTTTGTTTCATGATATATATCATTTTCATGACTGCTCCATGTGTTGATAGGATCCAAAATCTGGTAACTGGTGGCTGCATTTTGGGGGTGAGCCAGTTGGGTACTGGCCTGCTGTTTTGTTTTCAGACTTAAACAATGGTGCTTCAATGGTGGCATGGGGTGGTGAAGTTGCCAACTCAGAATCAAAGGAATCAACAACCATAACTCAAATGGGTAGTGGATGCTTCCCGGACGAAGGTTATTCAGGAGCAAGTTACTTCAGGGACTTCCGGGTTGTAGATGACTCAAACAACTTGATAGCCCCTGAAGACGTGCAATCTTTTACCAAGCATTCAGAATGTTATGATGTAAAGCTCCAGAAAGAAGTAGATTGGGGTAATGCCATTTACTATGGTGGACCTGGTTGTCCGTGAATGAAGGTGAAAAGGAGAATTTGGAGATTAGACTATTGAGAGGGGAGTAACTTTGCAGTCATAGCTGAAGACTAGAAGAGCAGAAAGAAACATAGTGAGGTTGAGGAGCAAGTTTTAAGGCGAGAAATTATTGAGTGCAGTTTCTGTAACACGTAAGATTGTGAAATTAGACACAATAAATAGAGTAAAGTAGTAATTTGGAGAGGATGGGAAAAAAGATAATTTCTATGAGAATTGCTAATATTTATTGTACAAAAAATCAGGATAAAAATTTTTGTTTGCTTATTAATATATGATTGTGTTATACTCCCTCTATCCCAAAATTATTGTCCAATTTGAGATTTCACTTTTAGTACAATTTAAACTAAAAATAAAAACCCAAACTGGACAATAATTATGGGACGGAGGGAGTAATAGAATAACATTTGATGTTCTCTTGTCGTTAATATAGGATAAAACAGCCAGGTAACATCTCTTGACTCCCATTCAAATGTGCATGTTGTCAGTACTAAAACAGAATCGATAAATGGTTTTGTTGTGGTTATACCAGATCAACCGCCTTTGTTCATATGAATATTTTATCTTGGAACTGTAGAGGCATGAATAATGCCTCAGCTAAGCATGTATTAGGTAGGTTAGTTAAGCAGTATAAGCGTAATATTTTGTTTATTATGGAGACTAAGGCTAGTCAGGAACATGTAGAGGTTTGGGAACAAACTTCAGTTTTTAAAAATTCATTTGTAATAGATCAGATAGGTTTCAGTGGTGGTTTAGGTCTATTTTGGGTAGATGGAGTGCACATTAATGTGCTTTTGCAAAACTCTAATGTAATTGTGGCCAAAGTGTGTGGGTCTAATGGTTTAGAGTGGTTAGCCATTTTTCTGTATGGTCTTCCATCCCAACAAGGGCAGAATTCTGGTCTCAGCAACATGACACCATCGGAGGCCTACACTATCCCAGTGTCATTTTAGGAGATTTCAATTAGGTGTTTAATCAAGAAGATAAGTTTAGAGGCAGACAAGTAAGGGATCAGGACATAAGATCACTTCGGAATTTCTTATCCCGTAATGACTTGGAAGAGTTGAAACATTTAGGTTGCTGGTATACTTGGACTAATAATAAAAGGTAGGGTCAAGATGCAATTTTTGAAAGACTGGATCGAGCAATTGTGAATCGGCAATGGTTGCAGAGCTTTCAAAAAGCAGTCATTCGAAATCTACCTATTATGAGTTCTGATCATGGCCCAATTCTGGTTGAAATGAAGGAAAAGAGGAAAATAAGAAGAAAGCAAAAGTTTGAACAATTTTGGTCCAATTGCCCTTCCTCAAAGAATCTGCTATAACAAGGTTAGAAACAATCCTCCCTTCAAATTAAAAACCAACAAGAATCCCTGTCTTCCAAGTTACAAAGGACTCTCTCAAATCTTCACCGATGGAGCAAGGCCAATTTGGTAACCTAGATAACTTCTTCTCTGAACTCTCTGAGAAACTGTCAAGACTTCAACAGTAGTGGGAGCTGAACAAATCGGATCCTGCTTTGAGCTCTCAACTGGAAAGCTGCAGTATAGAACTGGAACAAGCCTTATAAAATCATCATGATTACTGACAGCAAAGAGCAAAACTCAATTGGCCAATCTAGGGAGACAGAAATTCAAAAATTTTTCATAAATGCACAACCAGGAAAAATGGGAACGAATGGATTACTGAACTAAGTAATGACAGCGGGGATTAGGTCCAGGACCATACTCAGATTACCTCCTTGTTACAAGACCATTTTTTCCAAATTTATATGTCTGTGGAATCAAGTACACAAAATGCTCAAACTTCTACCTTTTTCACTTGTCTTCTTGATAATGTGGAGGAATGTTTATCCCCTGAGCAAGTGGACTACTTGAATGCCCCATTCACAGAAAGAGATGTTTGGGCAGCAGTTAAACAAATGTTTCCTTGGAAATCTCCCGGACCAGATGGCATGTCTGCAGGATTCTATTAGCATTATAAAGACTTTATAGGCCTGGAAGTACAGTCAACAATTCTGGATGCGATCAACAATCAATACTTCCCACCAGAATGGAATTACACCCACTTGGTTTTGATACCTAAGACATCCTCACCAGTGATTCCAAATCATTTTTGGCCAAACAGTTTATGCAATGTTAAGTACAAGATCATTGCAAAAATGATAATAAATCGTTTGAAGCATGTTAAGAATGATCTGATTGATGAGACTCAAAATGACTTTGTTCCAGGAAGAAACATTGGTGAAAACATTCTCATTGCTCATGAGATTATTGAATACATCAGGAAAAAAAAAGGAACACAGGATTAGCAGTCATCAAACTGGACATGAGTAAGGCATATGACAGACTCTCTTGGCCTTTCCTCCAAACAGTGTTACAGAAAGCAATTTCCCTACATGGTTGTTTTTCCTTTTCATGCACTTTGTGTCTTCAGTTATTTACTCCATCAGTTCAATGGCGAGAGTTTGCCCTCATTTTCTCCAAACAAGGGTCTCAGACAGGGATGTCCTTTATGCCCATACTTATTTATCCTGTGTCAGCAGGTCTTGTCCTTAGCCATAAGATCTGAAATCCAAATCTTTCTAGGATTGGGAGTGAAAATAAGCCGCAGTGCACCAAGATTAAGTCATCTCATGTATGCCAATGATAGTCTCTTCTTCATAGAGTGCAAGAAATCTTCAGTCTTAACCTTAGCAGGCCTGGTTGAGAATTATGCCACCTTCTCAGGTCAGCGGATCAATCTTCATAAGTCTTCCATCCTTTTAAGTGCAAACACATCACATGACATGCAACACTTTGTTCATTCTACCCTTAAAATTCCGGCTGGCCCATTCCAAAGTAAGTATTTAGGAATGTCTCTGACTTCAAGGAGAAAAAGAAGGTAATCATCCAGAAGTTCTTCACCAAGCTCAGTAATAAATTTGCCTCATGGAAAACAAAATTGTTGTCTTTACCTGGAAGAGTAACACTGGCTAAATCGACTTTGTCTTCAATGTTGGTTTACCCAATGGGAGTTTTTAAACTCCCTTCTCATACTCTTCACAAGGCAAATCAAATGATTAGCAACTTTATTTGGAAAGGTGACAAACAGGATAGGAAGATCTACTGGAGGGCTTGGAAGAAAATTACAAAGTCGCAGTATTGTGGTGGATTAGGTCTGAAGGCTCCGAAGGAATTCAATCAGGCATTGCTGGAAAAACATGCATGCAAGATTTTGTTTGTGCCAAATTCGTTGTTGTCCAGAATTATCCGTGCTAAATATTGTTCTAATGGTTCCTTTCCTCCTCCCCGACCTCCACACAATCCATCTTGGGGATTTAAAAGTATCATGTGGGGAGCAGAGCTACTTCACCATCATACAAAATAGAAGGTTGTCTCAAGGAAGGACATTCCTATTGCTACAAACTAGATTCCAAGTCATGCTAATCCCATTAAAAATGAGTCTATCATGGCTACCCACTCCAATCTGAGAGTAAACAATTTCATCAAGTCTAATAGCCAATGAAAAATTAACTCCCTCAGGACTATTTTTCTGGATCATGTTCTCCCTTATATTACAGGGATTTTTATAGACCCGACAAGGAGGACTCACAAGGATAAACTGTAGTGGCTTCATACAGACTATGGTCAATATACTGTCAAGTCAGGTTATCAATTGGCCATCAATGCTCTCTTTCCACAACCTATGCCAAGTCCAGCAATCCAGAATGCAGAGAGACTCGCTTGGAAGAGACTTTGGAACTCTAGAGTTCAACCCAAGTACAATTTCCTTTTTTGGAGAGCATTACTCAATGCTCTATCTACACAATCAGAACTATGGAAAAGGGGTATTCAAGTGGACTCATTATGCCCTAGATGTGAAAAACATGAGGAAGATAGCTTACACTTATTCTTTAGGTGCGAAGCATCTCAGACCATTTGGGCCTTGGGATTTCCTCTCTTCAACTCCATATTCAACTCTACATATGATTCCTTGCATCAATGGCTCATTAGCTGGACTCAGTCTCATCCCACTAAATAGGAGATTGACTTGTTTTTGATTATCACTTGGAGGATTTGGCTAGAGAGAAATGACAAGATTTGGAGACACCAATCTCATGACCCGGCAATATCTTGGAAACTTATCCAAAACAAAGTCACTCTTCATAAACAAACTCTTAGGAGACTGGGAGCGGAAAGGTCCTCCACCAATATACAACTGTCACAACCGCCTCGGGGTCCAGCTGATTCCTTAGTCATATTTGATGGATCGTTTAGTCATCAATCACGGAAGGCGGTTGGTGCATGGAAGATTCTATCACATTATGGTATGGTGATGCAAATCAAATTGGTGGATCTAAGTGTACTTTCTCCTTTTCAAGATAAGGCAATGACTTGTCTTCTAACGTTGAAGGAGGCTTTCCATTTGGAAATCACTTGACTCCATGTTTATACGGACTGTGTTGCTTTGACTGGAGATTTGAGGTATGCTTTTATACCTTATGAGGCTCAGGAGGTGATTTCTCTGTTAATTAGTACTATTTCCTCTTTTTAGTTTTGCTCGTTGATTAAAGTGAGTAGGCGAGATGTCGTAGAATTACATAATCTAGCATTCCATAGGATACGGTTTAATAGTTTAGGTACTTCTTCTTAATTGATATACAGGTATCTTTTCAAAAAAAAAAATTCTTGTGACATTTTCTCCAGCGTAAATAAAAAAGTTGCTGCCAATACTTAAAAAAAAAAATTGTATTCCACCTGTCCGATAAAATATATCCATTTTGTTAAATTATTTGAGAGAGCACTAAAACTAACTATCAAAATTAGTTGTTTTACACTTTTAATACCTTCCTATGTTAATCAAAACGAGTTTTTTTTTTTAACTATAAATTTCTAAGGTGTTTACATGTGTTCAAATTCTCAGATAAAAAACAAAAAAAAAACCTTTTTTAAAAAAAATTTTCCAGGAATGTTATGTTACTTTGTTTTTTCTAAAAAAAAAAAAAAAATCTCTTCACTACCATCTTCTTGCTTTTTCAGTTTCCACTTTCCACTATTAAATCATGTGGTTGTGTGAGAAAGTTAAGGACGTACTATGACAATATTTAAAACTACAGGGTTATATTGGTAGTTTCCTTAAACTTTATGGAGGTCCATGTAATTTGGCCGCCCTGAAATCAGCAAGACCGGCGCCAATTACTTCGTCACAACTAACAAGCTCTGCTCACTCTTTCTTTGTCATCCTCCAAATAGGAAGAAGCTCCTCCATAATCTCTTGTCCGGGGGTCTTTGGCGCCAAAACCCGTGAGTGAATATGCTTTACAGTTCCTGAGCTCATTTTCAATTGGTCTTATGATTGGATTAAGCAACTCCTTTATCCAATTTGTCAAAAAGTTCAGGACTCAATTTTTTTTGTATTTATTCCTCTCATATTGTAGGCATTCAGTTTTTCTCTGTATTGGGGAATATCTGGTGTTTCCAGTCTTTAATCTTGTCTTCTTGTGATTTTTGGTTGCATAATTTCTGGGTTTCCATTTCCATTTACGGTGCTTAATCATGTCAAAAATACTTTTTTTTTTATATACATTTTCTTTTGGGTTCTTTGTTATGTTCCTGATGTTGTTGATCTTTTTTATTTTTTATTTTATTTATTTATTTTTTTTTTAGAAATCTGCCTTAAAGATTGGAGAGGAAGAGAATGGCGGTTTCACTAGTTAGGACAGATTTTAGTTCGTGGTATGTAGCTGCATTCGCTCCGAGTTTTGTCCCAGCTCTTAGTATCAGACCTAATTTAAGGGATATAGTAGTTGGTTTCCCCAGACTAAAGAGAATACAATGCAGTTTTAGATTGCCGACTGGAGAAGGAAAACCCGGGTCAATAATTGCTGAAGGGAGTTGTTCAGTTATAAGTCCACAGGGGCATTGGGAAGATCCAGATGATGGTAGTGGCAGTGAAATTGATGATGATAGTGAAGAAGAAAAAGTAGAGGACATGGATGAAAATGACTTGGATTTTGAGAGTGATTGGGATGAGGAGAATGATGCTGCCACTCGTGTTAAAATTGTTAATAACTTATCTCCAAACAACTACGAGGAAGATTTTGCAAAAGGTAATCCTTGCACCTTTGTCTGTATGTAAATATCGAATTGTTATATTTGGTTTTTCTTTGAGGGTCCTGTTTTCATTTATTGAAGTTATTGATTCGATAGTATCTCCATCCCTATTAATCTTGATGAACACCATCATGAGTTTATAAAGTGGATAATGGAATGCAGTTTGATTTTGAAATGGCTAAAAGAAATAGCCTGTCAAATTACAACAATCTAGAGGAGAAACGAAGCTAAAGGTTGGCAAACTCTGAGTTAGGGCATTTTTTTATTTTATAAATTAGCAGTTGGAATTTCACTAGTACTGGTAGGAATACAAAACTTTCTGGAAACTCAGGGAAAATCTGTCCGTATCACAATACTTGCTGAACAAAGTAAATGAAATAATATAGTTGACCTCCATGATGATATTTTAATTGCAGAGGTTGAACAGCTATTGAGTTCTGAAGAAAGAGCTATTCTTGAAGCGAATGACTCTCCTTGCTTGGAGAGGATATCAACAGTGAGTCTAAGTATTTTGAGCTTCACTTTCTCCTGTGGAATCTATTGTTGTAAAATGTTAAGAACATCTTCTGCTTTAGGTTTGTATTACCAGTTTCTGGCATTCGCATTGAATACATTTTTTTGGCTGAAAATTCAATCCGCACTTAATAGAATATTCAGATGCATAAAAAATATGCAAGAGGCTGAAGCCATTTCTTCTTTTAATTTCTATGAACTCTGTGATGACAGAGAAAATGGTTACCTCTCCACACTTTTGCTCTAGCGGGGCAGATCAAAGATATGGATAGGCTTCTTGAGAAGGGAGTTGATATTAATCTGACTGATCAGGTAGAATGGCCTTGTCTTTAGCCATGATGTTTTTGGAATGCTTACAATGTTGCGTAAGCTCTTTAAATCTGTACTCTTAGCCAAAAGGCTGAAAAATGTTTATACTTTCTGCTTGTGGGAAGTAATCTGAATCAATGGAGATAAGCAGGATGGACGTACTGCCCTACATCATGCAACAATTGGTAAGAAAGAACCTGTTATCAGTCATCTTCTCCGGAAAGGTGCAAATGTTAATGTAAGAGATCAGGTGAGACGTGTTTTTGGTTGAAGTTCTCTTTTTTCTTTTCTGCATTAAACCAAAATATGACCATAATCTGTGGGAATCTTTTTTTGCTTGTACTAGGATGGCGCTACGGCACTTCATTATGCAGTTCAAGTGGGAGCAATGCAAACTGTCAAATTGCTGATCAAGTATAATGTTGACGTGAACACTGCCGATGATGTAAGCTTCCAATTTACTTCTAGCTGGCCTTTCACACAACTTTCAAGTTCCTTCCTAAATTATTTCTCTGTCTCTCTTTGGATAGGAAGGATGGACACCACTGCATGTTGCTGTTCAAAGTAGAAACAGGGACATAACAAAAATATTGTTAGTTAATGGAGCAGATAAGACAAGAAAAAATAAGGTTAGATATCATAATCATTTTTGTTTTGGTCCTTTTTTCTCTGTTATAATTTTGTTCGCGTAACTACATATGTGGAGAGTTTACTTATGCATGCCAATCAATTTATATGTGCCGTTCTCTCCACAGATGATTGTGAAACTCTTTGTTCAATCAATGCAACCACATTTATCTGTTGAGAACCTCGTTTTTTAATCCTGACTTGAGTTTCTGCATGGCGCTGCATGGGCACATTTGCTTTATTGACTTCACTGTGTAGGCATCTTTGTAAAAATTGAAATGTAAAAGCAACATGTCCATAGAGTTAAGTGTCTCTCTTTTTGCCTTTTGGTATCATTGTGAAGATAAATTTAATTTGTTTTCATGTTTCAGGCGGGACATACTCCTTTGGATCTTAGCTTATGTTATGGCAAAGAATTCAAATCGTATGATCTTACTAAGTTGCTGAAAGTTGTACCTGCCGATAGAAATTACTGCTAGTCACCAATGACTGCACAGCAACATAGAGAATTACCTTGATGATTGTATCTAACAGAGCTGATTGCAGCAATGCACGCGTGAGAGAATAGCATAAATATATCAAATTGCCAGCAATGTGTTGTGAAATTTTGCACAACAGACAGGGACGATGATCCTTACACTGCAAATCCATTAGGGCAAGAAATTTTGACTCGTATGCTTAGTTGCTCACAGGGGTCATGTAGCCTCCATTGCAAAGCATTCAGTGTGTAAGAACTGTAATTGATAGTTAATAGAGTAAATACGGAGGTTTTAATTAAAACTTCCTTCCTATTCTGCTCGTTTAGCAAACACCTAGTTTTAATCAACGCAATGCCAAAAGGTTGATATGGTTTTCGCTCTACTATGGAAATAAGAGTCTTTGATGTAGAATCTGCACTCTTCAAATGGCAGGATGACTGAAATGTTGATCATTTCTAGCTCATCCATGAGACATCACCGGCAGATGCAATTTTTTATTTTTTTTTTTTGCCCCTTCTGTTGCATATAGGTAATCTGCAGGGTTCATCATGTTTACACAATTGAAATAGTCGGTCTCAATATGTGACTGAAGCCGGAATTCAGCCACCTGATTAGGATTCTGATGAGTCTTATTAATGTGGCAACGACAATGAATCTCCAATTTCTTTTTTTTTAACTTTTGTTTTTTTTTTTTTTTTTTATCGGTAATTTGGTTCCCCTGAAAAGAATCATAGTATCTGGATTGCTGCTTTCCTAGGCTGAAAATCCAAAGGCTGAGACGCGGTTGAGAAAAGGGGTTGTCGTTAGTCCTCCGTTTGAGGATGATACACCATTTCATAGGCCACTGGAATCATTTTAGCAGTTCATTGAAATTTGAAAAGAACTAGCAGTTCTTACCAAAAAAGTTCAGCTTTACAACTCATCAATATTGAAGCAGGTATTCCGTAATGTTGTATCCTCAACTTGTAAATACAGTAACAAAGTCATAAGAACTTTGAATACAAAGGTAGAAATCCAGTGGTCTTAAAATCCAATTTTTTTAAGTACATTCTGCTTTTGGTCCGTTTAACAAGATCAAGCTGCGATTGTCAACCATCTTTCATGTGTGCTCTGACCAAATCAAAGAAACCTACCTGATTGCAGAATTTACACTTATTGGAACTATTAATTCCCACTAAAGTTTCTAAAACATATCAGACACCCACCAGGCAACCCAATTGACAAGTATGCTAAAGCTGAGCAGTTGTCAACACAACCCAAGGCCGCACACTGAACACTTGATCTCATCTGGCATTTATCATTTACTTCTAAGAAACTTGGATAAATGGAGGACTCGCTCAAGGAGTGGCCATACATGATTACATGAAATGAATCTAAGAAAGGCTAAAAGATGGTGTTAAGAAAACTTTTACTTTTAATCCTTACAATGGAAAATCCTTTCGTGCCAGCAAGTTTAAAAAAATAATACTACCTCAGATACGAGAGCATAACGAAAATGCGTAAAGAAACTAAATGTACTACTCCAGAAGACTGCAACAAATTAACAAAATATACATCCACCTTTAAGATTCAAAGTTTTAAAGACCAAACTCTAGTGCTTTTCCTCCTTCGGGATATCCTTCTTTCCAGGTATCTCTTTTGGCTTAGCCTCGTTCATCTCTCTACAAAAAGATAGAAACACTAGGTCAAAATGGTTATGCAATAAGTAAACAGTGTCAATAACAGATCACGGCAAATGGAGATACTAGGAGGTCAAAGTTTCTAGAATAGCTCGTGTACATGCACATACATGCAACATTCACCATCTCTACTAAAAATTAAGTTAGTTCCACCAAATTGAAAGAAGTTAAACTACGTCTCCAGTCATGTACGACCACATTTTTTTGTTTTTTACCCATTTGATAAAGGATTACTGTTTGTAACATTAGAAAAAAGCCAACTAAAAGAAAAGAGGATTACATTTCAACCCCACAGAACTACACAAGATACTAGGGTCATAACTTAGCAGCAACATGTTACATGAATCAAAATACTACACTACTACTTTTTATCATCTGTTTTCAAGATTCCAGACATCTAAGTGTAATAATGGAGAAGAATGAAACCGTTTTTCTCAGAAATGATCATAAAACATAGGAAAGAAGAAACAAACACCCACACTCTGCCCCCTCCCTCTTCCGGAGGCATACACCCTGCAATGTAGATGTTAAATATTAATATTAAGCACGCTACTAAGTAGGATCACTGTTTGCCAAACTAATCAGACTTCTTAATCATATTTCACCGCAGAGCTCATGCCAAAATCACACCAAATAAATATATTCAAAAATTGAATAATTCAACCCCAAATTTAACCTTATATAATCAAATTTACTAGTTATCATTTGCTTATTGCGTTCTAAAAATGAGAAACAAAAGGACATACTTGACAGCTGAGGCAGACTCTTCCTCGAGCCATTTACGAATGTGGCGAACATTCCGTCGAAAGATTGCAGCTGATTGCCGGACATCACTCCTCATTAACAGGACCACAGCACTGACTCCTGCTACCGTGAGTATGAAGTTGGTTAGCGCCATCTGAAATTGATCAAAAGCTCAGCTAAAGATTGCAGGACCAAAAAAAGTAACAATCAAAACTACGAACTAATTTGTCTCTCAAAACAGAGAAAGCAGACTGACTAAGCCAATCACATGTTTCACCCGATTTCGAATAGCAGAAATTTCGAAGACAAAAACAAAATCGATTCTAAGAAGTTATGCATAAATTGAACTTTCCATCAAAAACATCCTAAGAATCAAAAATCGAACCAGTAATTCGAGCCGCCGGTTGTGGACGTAGCACAGTTCCTGTAACTTGAACGCTGTCGTTGTGGGAGAGGCAGACTGCGAGAGTGGCAGAGAGAGGGGAAGAACGAAACCACAATTTTAATTTTGGGGTTAAATAAAATATTATCAATATTGAGGGAAAAGCCCCTATAGTGGAAATAAAAGACTAGAAAGGTTTCCAAATTCACATAATGTCCAATCTAATGTTCCTTGTAAAAGGTGTAGTTTTTTTATTATTATATTTATTTTTTTATACACAATTACAAGTACTAGTTAGGGCTGGTCTTTTTGAACCGCGGTTCGTATCGACCCGATGATCCGAACTGAAACCGAATTTTAATTTCGATTTGGATCGGTTCGGATCGAAGATTTTAAAAGTTTGAACGGTTTGGATCGGTTCGGGTCAAAAGAATATCCAAATTGAACCGAAAAAATCCAAAATCAAAAAGTAAATAATTATATTTTAATAATGACGTCGTTGACTGATACTACCACCTTTGACCACCGCCACCGGTCATCGTCGACGACAACTTCCTGCCAAAATTCCGGCGACTTTGCCGGAAATTTTATTTTTTTTTTCCGGAGGTCGATGACCGTCTCCGGCATGTTGACGTGATCGTTACTTTTGATGACATCATCACTAGCAAAATGGTTCATTTCGGGTCAATTCGATTTAGACCCGAAACTTAACTCAAACCGAAATCCTTTATGATCTAAAAGAAATTGACCCGTTTCTGAACCTAACTAAAATAACGGTTCGGTTCGGCTCGGTTCGGTTCGGCTCGGTTTTCTTCAAAAGAACAGTCCTAGTACTAGTCTGTTACATGTGGGGTGAATCTTATGAGAAAAGGGTAGTACTATTATTAGGAGAGACTCCACGCACGCGCATGCATTGATCTGGTACTCGAAAAGCCTTCTTGGCGGGTGCAAGATAATCTGCACAATTCAACACACAAGGTGTTGTGGGACCTCCAAGTTTAATGCCACGCCCATTTACCACTTGCGCAATCCCTTGTTGGCGGAAAAGGTATACTTAATTAATTACAATTAGGGCATATTTAATATTATATTATATGAATTTCCTACTAATAATTATAAAATAATAATCTTGCAGTACTTCTAATTTTAAAGAAGTAATTAAAGAGACTATGAATTTATCAATATGATTCAATTTTAAAAGAAAAAAAATACAGCATGTTGAGAGAGAATTCAATAAAGACACTATTTTTTATAAATTATATTATACCATGTAGTCTCTCTAGTTAAATTGTAATACACTAAATTATACTAATATATTATTTTTTATTTGAGTTAATATTTTATTTTTATGTGGAATATTAGTTTCATTTAGATGTTTTTAATCTTTATGTTAGGAAGAATAAAATAAATCAGAAAAATTGTGTCTTTATTGCTAAATTATGTTATTAAAAAATTAACATACTTATATAAATACAATCATGGGTTACAACTATACAAAGATTAATTTTTACAGTAGAGTTTGAAAATAAATAAATATTTTTCAAAAACTCATATAATAGACTTTTATGGTCATTAAAAGTAGTAAAGAGAAATGGAACAAGATAGAGAAAAATAAAATAAAAAAGTAAAAAGGGACTGTTTTGTTATTTTTATATGTTTTAGAAGTTCTTTTTAAAATTTTAAAAATTACTGGGGTATTTTTGTTATTAAAATTATTATTTTATTAAAAAACTAACGGAGATCCATTAATTTAGACGGAAAATGAGTCGATTGGACGAAATTGGCAAAAATTTCAAACATCAGGGTAAAGTTGGATAACTGAAAATCTATTGCAATAATTGACGACGAGGCAAAGCGTTGGTTAAAAACGATATTTTATTTTATTTATTTATTTTTATTTTTTTTCCCTTTTTGTTCCCTTTAATTTTTTAATTCTAATTTTGTTAACTTTGGAATAAACAGCGGCACCGCCCCTTTCTCCACCCTACTCCCACTGCCACACCACCATAACCCACACGAACTCACTCACTCAACTGACGATATAATTTGCTCCCTTCACGAATATACTTCAACTTTACCTTTCTGCTACAACTTTTACTGATCAAATTGATTTTTTTTTTTCTATCATATATATACATGCTTTTTTCTTTACATGTATGATGATCCTTCTTGTTGGGTTGTAAAATAAAACCGGATTGCATTGATTTCAAGGAAGCAAACAAAAAAAAAAAGTTGAAGAGTATAATAATAAAGATGGCGGATGCTGGAATGGTGAACAATGTGGCCGCAGCCATGTCAGTTAGCTTGGACTACAACGCTTCCCCTGAAGCTCGTCAGACTGCCTATTCCTACTTAGAATCTGTAAGTTCTTGAAGTTCTTTTTGGGGTGGTGTTTCTTGAAGTTCGAAATGATTGTTAACTTGAGTTTTTGTGGGTTTTTTCTTTTTCCGGGATGTTGTGAATTTGGTTGAGGAATGTGTGACTATTGCTAGAAACCTTGGGAAGAACATTCTTGGTTTTTTTTTTTTTTTTTTTTTGTGTGTATGTATGGGTTTTGAACTTTGATTCTGAGTATTTCTCAAACCTTAGTATTGATAGTTTTATCGAATTTATAATGATGTCCTTTTAGAATAATCTTTTAGACTAATTGGGTGCTATACTAGATAGTTGGGTGTTATTTTATTGTTTTTGAATGGATGAAGATGATCAGATTTCTGTAAGTCACAGTTTTGGGTGGTTTGTTTTCTCAATTGGCCGACACTGGTCCACTTCTGCAATTAGAATGTTCATTATATTCTTTTTTAATCTTCCACTTTGATTGTGAACTGATAATATGTCTTATCATTCATGCATTTATTGGAACTTCATGGCTTATACCCTCCTCAACTCTGCACGATTTCAGTTATTGATGGAATTTGCACTGCAGGAAGTAAAAATATTTTATTTTATCAATTTCAAACGATATGATATCTTTGGTTTCACATTATTGGTTCTGCGAGCTCCAAGTCACCGAGTATCACTACTGCATCTGATGCCTTTCCATCATTATTTTGCAGATAAAATCAGGGGATGTTCGTGTCTTGGGGAGCACATCATTTAGTCTTGTTCAGAAAGAATGGTCTTCTGAGATTCGGCTGCAGGCTTTTAAATTGCTTCAGGTTTGATTATCTTCCTCACTCACATATTCGATGAGAAAAGTTAGTGTTTTCATGGAGTGTCAAGAGATTGGGTAAACATAGAGCCGCTGCAGGGATTTTTGTGTTGTTGGCTAATATATTATGCATTTGAAACCAGTGCATTTAAATTGATTGACTCTCTATAGTTACAAATTTTCTTTCAGTCAGCTCCAAAATTTTGGTTTATAGAATACATTGCCGGATAAGTAATAAACATCTTGGTAAAACTTGTTTTATTGTTAGACTTTCACCCTTATTGACTTCCACCCCCCCTTGAACTATGGTATGTTCTTTCTGATATGGTTAACGCTTGATGGATATCCTTCCTACTCTCACTTGTAAATAAGAATGGCTGGTGTTTTACAGCATATTACTTTTTCCGAAATTCAGGATGGAGGGCATAAAAGATTGATGCGAGCTTAAGGCAAATATTGTTGTAGTCATTCTAGAGTGATATGTTTAAGGTAGATAACTAATGACAGAAGATAAGTGATTATCTATCTTCCCTTTTCTAATGTGTTTTACTTGATGTTTGATATTGATTAAAAGAAGGAAGTGAATTGATTTGGATCACAGCTTGTCCTTCACACTACTGTGTTTTACTTGTTGAAAGAAGTGCATGTACTTGATGAGTATATCCTAGTTTGACAGCCACATCTAGAATGTTAACTTGCAGAATTTAACGTTTGTAAATCACACGTATGGTCCTCAACAATTGGGCGGCACTAATCGACATTTATGGGATATATAAACCCAGAAACTTGCCTTAACTTTCTACAGGAAATAAATAATCCATTACGGCAATCTAGCTAATCCTTCGTTTTGCTTCTTTTACCCTCATATGGTATTGAGGCAATTTCATGGCCTGTAATATATTTACTACAAAAATTGCTCTGATGTTTGTGAAAATTAGTAAGATGGGACATGTAAAGGAGAGATGGGATCGTTGTTAGGTCTCTCCGAAGGGAGTGAACATGCATCTGTTATTCATGTGGACATTGCTTTACTGTACATTAGCTCCTTCCCATATGTTTTGTTGGTCCAAATAGAAAAGATATGCAGCTTACTGCATGAGAAACTTGAGGTGGGAATAGAAGCACTTTATGGAATTCTTTATTTTCTGGCACAAATTTTGAGTTCTGTTAACTGGATGAAGAGTGTAAATAAAGTCTTTGTGCTCAACCTGGGCAGTCGTTTTTTAGCTCGAAACTAGTGTTCTATCAGGCTTAGTAGAGCTTGAGTTCATCACTTTGTTTCCTTTTGCTGCTTTCTTGTTTGGAGCTTGATGTTAGACACGTTGAGGTTACTTATCTATTGATCTTAGTTAAATTTTATGAAAAACCTCTGACTTATACTGTTAGCATCAAATAGGCTGATGTTCATGGCTTTCTCCCTTTCAACGTTTTGTATGATACTGCAATCAAAGGAAATTTACCTTGTCCCTGAGTCGTGTTGAAATGGAACTTTCAAATTTCTGTACTTAAAATCCTCTGTTCATTGACCTAGATAAATGAAGAGCTATCTTGTCTGGTGGAATGCTATTTTTCCTCTATTCTGACAACCAATCAGCACCCAATCTCTCATTTTAGTGACTGACTCTTGTGGTTGATGGGCAAGATTTGGTATGGTGGTATGCTTATGCACACTAGGAAGATGTTCTCCAACGGTCAATATCTGAATGTTTCTCTAGCAAACAATAAGATCCTCAGGCACTGGGATTATTTTTCTTGAAATGCAGCAGGTCAATAGCTGATTCATGTTATGGAAATCCCTTTAGAAAATTGAGAATAATTGACTAGGTACGAAAGACCAAAGTTGTTTGAGAACTGCCCAGTTTAATTATTTCAGATAACTTTTGATCTAAATAAGATAGATAATGAAGAAAAGGCAACCAAATTATATAGGAATCAGAATTCACAACAGTGTAACCGATGTCATTTTAAAATGTGCCCATCATTCACTATTCCAGTTTACTCTCCCAGTTATATTCTAGATAAAATAAAACCACCTACAACTAATTTTGAGAGTGTAGATGAAATTTGACTTGGTTTAATTAGCGTCTTACCACTGCTATCATGTAACTTTTACTTTAAAAAAAACAGAAATTAAATGTTTTTGAGATCCCAGGCCATTAAAGTGATACCATAACTTGCAGTTTTAGTAACAATAGAATGTCAGTCTGGCAGGATATTATATATATATATTTTTTTTCTGGTCCTATTCTCTCTCTGTTCTCTCTCTCTGGGGAGTGAGACTGCAATATATTTATGGACACTTTTGGGTTGAGTGAATTCTATGCAACCACATTCTTTTCCCCTGACTTTTGTGTTTTGTCCAATTGAAGCACTTGGTGCGGTTACGATGGGATGAACTGAATCCTGCAGAAAGAAGGAGCTTTGCAAATGCTGCGGTGGATTTGATGTCTGAAATCGCAGATCCTCGTGAGGAATGGGCATTGAAGAGTCAGACTGCTGCACTTGTTGCTGAGGTGTTAGTTTAATTTCTTTCTGTACTTTGGTCTGTTTGGCAGAGATATTCCGAATCATTGTTCTGTTGAAAGATGCTTAGAGTGATAATACAGACTCAAAGTTGGTGAGGATGAGTTGAATATATGTTAAAATTCGTGAATATTCAGGATCTATCATGAAGGAAATGGAGAACCCATGAAAGCTGTTACATCTAGAATTCAACAAGGTTTTAAAGATCTGGAGAACTTTGTCACCCTGCAGACTGAAATTACCTTTAAAATTGAAAGGAAAGATCTATAGAACCGCCATATGATCAGAATGTATGGTCACTTAATATGAAAACAAACAAAAAATGAGGTAGCATCATGAGTACATTTGAAAGACAGTATGCCATGTAAGATGAGTAGAGTGTGTGGATTGTTACCTCAAATTGAAAGAGATGAGAAAGATCTGAAATGAACTGGAAAGAAACCCTAACAAAGTTCATTATTTATTTGAACTTAAATGAAAATATTTGTTTATGACAGAGACGATGATGACATATGATCTACATATAGCCAACCCATAGTAGATAAAGATCTAGTTGTTGGCTGGGATTCAGGGAGAGCTCTGAATCAGTCTTGGTTTTCTTTGTTACAGATGGTTAGAAGAGAAGGGTTGAGTTTCTGGCTGGAGCTTTTCCCGTCGCTGGTTTCGATGTCCAACCAGGGTCCAAGCCAAGTGATTTTCGTATTCCTTTTCTGCTATAATTTATTGTTGTTTATTTTCCTTATATGACGTACTCAAGCTGATAAGGTTGAACTTTCATCTCGTTGCAGGCAGCGATAGTGTCAATGACTCTCAGGTGGCTCCCTGAAGATATAATGATTCATAATGAAGATTTAGAAGGTCCTTTGCATTTTTCTTTAACCTTTAAGGTTTTGTTATACATAAATTTATTTTTCTGAACATTAAAACCAAATTTCTCAGGTCGCTATTCTTACTGTCACCTTATTTCTCCTTATAACTAAAGGAAAGAAGTGTTTTCTTTCTTGGTTGTCTGGTGCAGAGAGAATGTTGATGAATGTCAGTCAATCAAACTTTTCTTTTTGACTTCTCATACTTCCGACTTTGATTTGTTGTTGACTCAGGTGATAGGCGTAGGCTATTGTTACGTGGGCTCACGGAATCTTTGCCTCAAATCTTACCATTATTGTTCAGTGTAAGTGCTTTCTTGGTTCCTTACTGAAGTCGGCATTGCAACGTAGTTACATTCTCATTGCACTTATCTGATGACAGTTATTAGAGAGGCACTTTGGCGCTGCAGTAACTGAAGCTGGCAAGCAGCAAATGGATGTTGCAAAACAGCATGCATCAACTGTAACAGCTACCCTTAATGCTGTTAATGCATATGCTGAGTGGGCTCCCTTACCCGATCTTGCAAAATACGGAATAATTCATGGGTAAGATCTCTCTGTATCTGTCTCGATTTGGGTTGCTGAACCTTACACAATTGTTGGAGCCTAATCTCTCCTCTCTCAAACAGCTGTGGCTTTCTGCTCTCTTCCCCTGACTTTCGTCTTCATGCTGTGGAGTTTTTCAAACTCGTGTCCCAAAGGTACGAGGTGAAAAATAATCTCAGTTAGATGAGTGATTTGTATCTCTGCACAAAAGATTTTAAAATCTTAAAATGCTGGTTACTATTAATTAGTATTCTGTTTACGTGGTTGCAGGAAACGGCCTACTGATGGGATTTCTGAATTTGACTCTGCAATGAGTCAGATATTTCAGATTCTGATGAACATCTCAAGTGATTTCCTTCTCAAATCTTCCTCTGGTGCTGCTATTAGTGAGAGTGAGTTTGAATTCGCAGAATATGTCTGTGAGAGCATGGTCACTCTTGGGTCTTCAAACCTGCAGTGTATTGCCAGTGATTCTACAATCCTTCCGCTCTATCTTCAACAGGCAATCTTTTGTCTTCACTTTCTTAGATCTTAAAACTGGTGCTTTTATTTGGAGTTCTGATGTTATTCAAATTTTGTTCCATGAATTTACTGATGTCGACGTATGTTATGAAATTGTTTACTCCTTTTTACTGCTTGATCATTCAAAATTTGTATGCAGATGCTAGGATATTTTCAGCACTATAAACTGATTCTCCACTGCAAATCTCTTCCTTTTTGGCTGGTACGATTTCTTTAAAGTAACATTTTACAGCTTAATTTAATTTAGAAGTCCCAAGGTCATGGATACATTTTTGTTCTTGCATGTTCTTGTAGACTTTGATGAGGGATCTTCTATCCAAGTCAAAGACTGTTGTGACCGGAGAGCATTCAACTGACAATATTAGCTCAAATTCTGGAGAGGGCGATATTGAGAAGAAAATGACTTTTTCTTTCTTAAATGATGATCATTGTAGTGCAATATTAGACATGGGGTTTCGGCGCATGCTGAGGAAGGAAAAGGTTCATCCTCAGTCTGCACATCTGGTTGGCTCATTTGAGCTATGGAGTGACGATTTTGAAGATCCAGGAGGTTTTAGTAACTACCGTTCACGATTGGTATGGATTTCATGTCATTATCTTTTAGATGCAACTATGACAGAATATTTACTTGTAACCTCGCTGAAGTATTTCAAGCTTCTGTGTGACTCCGGTTGTATATTATTAGTTTCTTTTCCAATGTCATATGTCTCTGCTTGTGGAAAGCATGCAGTGGCATCTGTGTTGCTTGTGCTACATATCTCAAACTAGTCTTTTGGATGTTTGATCTATTAAAAATTGTACTGCATAATTCCTTGGCCTCTGTTTTGTAGATGTGAACCAGGTTTCAATGCTCTTGAATATTTGCAACTCCCACTAATGCATCTTAAGATCAATGTCCTATTGTGCAAAATGATTCTTGCATTAGTTTTACCATCAGTCAGAATTCTTGTTCACATGTATAATGAGGAATTTTAGTCTTTGCGGTCTCAGCGTATTGTGAAGTTTGCAGAATTGTTTGCAATCAGAGAAAAGACTTGAAGGATGGAAATAATTGAATCAGTGGAAGGAAGAACACGCTATTAAAATTGCCAAAAAAGCTTTGAAGCAAAAAAAAAAGTTCCATCAATTTGATTTGTGCTGTTACAAAAGTCACGTGGAACTGCAATGTACTTTGACCCTTAATGGAACTTACTTTTATCGTTATATAATTGGTGAGGATCCCTCACTGTCCAGTTTAACACGTGGAATTGTGTTGGAAGGTTTTCTTTTCCATCATACAGAGTGGGTGTATGGAACTGTAATATGTATATTAGCATGTAGTGAAATTCTAACCGCTTTATATTCTTTCAACTTTTTGTGCATCCGCATCAACTTCTTTAACTGGTTGAACTCATTTGTGATCTTGTTTTGATATTTGAGCCTTATGATTAGCTGTATATTTATCTTGATCTTGGATTCCTGTGCAGATGGAGCTCATTCGGTTTGTTGCATCTTATAAGCCCCTAACTGCTGCCACTAAGATTTGTGAGAGAATTATTACTATAATTAAGAGTCTATTGCTTGCTCAAGTGCCTGCTCAGGTTCCTTTCTATAAAGCTTTCTGCTATGTTTTATCGGTTATGTTATTCCTACTGCTAGTTATGTTTTCGGCAAAGTTTGCTTTGTTGGAGGCCGTTTGATTGCTTAACCATACTAACTATTTCAATGTTTAGGAATTGCCGATAATGGACAGCATGCAGCCACCACTGGAAAATGTTGTGAGCACAGTTTTCGACGAGTCAAACGATTTCTGCTGTACAAATTCTGATGATAAGCTTGCTTTATGCAGAGTATTTGAAGGTATCATGATGACAGCCCTTCTGCATAATTTAGAATTTTATTTATTTATTTGATTTTATATATTGTTTTTTATTTTTTGTTTTTCCCGACGTTCTGATTATTGAACAACTATGAAGGTTTACTTCAGCAACTTCTTGGTTTGAAATGGACTGAGCCATCTCTTGTCCAAGCTCTTGGACGCTACTTAGATGCACTGGGTCCCTTGCTAAAGCACTATCCAGATGCTGCCGGAAGCGTAATCAATAAACTTTTTGAGCTTTTGACTTCTCTACCTTATGTGGTCAAGGTTGTCCCTGGTTGACTTATATGCATGTATTAGGTATTGTACAGACATCTATTGTTAACCTAACAAGGTCCCTTTGCTAGGATCCTGCAACAAGCACATCTCGGCATGCGAGGTTACAGATTTGTACGTCATTTATTCGAATAGCGAAGGCTGGCGACAAAAGCCTTGTTCCTCATATGAAGGTAAAGTAACTTCTGTTTGGTGCTTAATAAATCACGGGTAACTCATTTAGTGTGAGAAGGAAACATGTGTTGTATATAATATCATATTGTGAGGCAACACCAGATTGTATAACCTCCAAAAAGTCCACTTTTTCGGAAAACAAGAAGCTGTTGGGTTTGAACCAGTGATTTTCCTTGTGTATTATCGTCTTTTGCTTTTCCTTGATTTTTTGACTTAAACCACTGGCCATGTCTAATATTAAGCTGTAATGGCCGAGACGTATACCTTTGGCAGCTGTTGTGATTGAATAGATCTTAATTTAGTAGATCTTATTTAGTGTTTGCAACCCTCATATACATTATTGTACTAGTGGCATAGGAGTTTTACTGGGACTGTAGTTTGAGGCATGTCTTATGGAAATGTGCTAATGCTGATTGCTCCATCAACCCTTCCATATTGAGTCACATATGTATTAGCTTTGGTGCATGTATTTGTGTGATTGAATTCTTTATTGATTTTAGAAACTGGTTCCTTGTCAGTTACCCGGATTCTTATGAACTCCCATGTCTTAATAAACGTTTCTGTGAAGTTCTTTATCATCTTTGCAATCTTAGGAAGTGTTAATAATGAGTCTCTTTGTTTTGCCAAATCCTCCCTTGCAAATGTAATAGGAAGATAAGGCATTTGGATATAAATTTTTGAGTTTCTTTACGGGAAGAACCTTGGAGTGTTTAATAAGCTTTTTATTAGTACATAAAAGTGTCCAATATTTCATTATTAACTTCTGATGAGTGTTATAGCATCAGTACAAGTTTATAACCTTGGGATACCACGAGGGAGGAGATACTAGGGGACTAAATATATCATTTAAGGGTGTGCTATAATTGTTACTAGGTTTCATTGTTGAGCCACTGATGGGACATTCTCCATGTTAGAGCTACTGGGGGACTGAGGATATCTGGTTAATCTACTCCAGCTTTTAGTTTTAAACTCCTACTAGATGGGGTACTAAAATAGTTATGTAATCATCTTCGTCATACATTGTATTGAGAAATCTGCTGACCACTAAATCTGGGCAAGGAATATAAGAGGGGAAGGCCATTGGTTTGGGTAACAAAATTCATGTATCTTGGTAGTTCTCCTTTTTAACTGTAGATTATTGAGCCACAAAGCTAGTTGCTTGAAGCCAATCTTTTGTATGTAGGATTGCTTTGTGTCATTACAACAAGAAGCTTTTATGTCACTTTTTGTTCCATTCTCCTGAATATGCTTAACTGTTGCAGGATTACAAATTTTCTACATGTTTTTGTATTTTGCAGGGGATTGCTGACACGATGGCGTATTTACAGAAGGAGGGTTCAATACTTCGTGGAGAGTATAATATTTTAGCTGAAGCATTTCTAATCATGGCATCTGCTGCTGGGTACTGAAACTAAGGCATTTTATATATTTTCTTTCTTGTTTACATGAGACTTGAACTTTAACTAGTACAGTTACCTAAATTGGTTGCAGGATTCAACAACAGCAAGAAGTTCTGGCATATTTTCTTGAACCTTTAAGTAAACAGTGGACACTTCTAGATTGGCAAAATACGTATTTATCAGAACCTGCAGGTTTTGTTCGTCTCTGTGCCGAAACATCTTTTATGTGGTCTCTCTTCCACACACTAACTTTCTTTGAGAGGGCACTGAAGAGAAGTGGTTTTAGAAAAGGCACTATAAGTTCTCAAAGCAGTTCAACAGCGACTTCTACAGTAAACCCAATGGCTTCGCATATATCATGGATGCTGCCTCCCCTGCTTAAAGTATGCATGCTACCAAAATTGTGTTGGCATCATTTATGTAACAGAACAGAAATTCGAATCTTAAATGATAGATGTTTACGTCACAACTAACAATTGATTTTTTGTTTTTTTCTCTAGCTGCTTCGCTGTGTACATTCTCTTTGGTCTCCACCTGTAGCTCAAGCCCTACCTGCAGAGTTGAAAGGAGCAATGGTCATGAGTGATGTTGAGAAAACCAGTCTCCTTGGGGAAGGAAGCCTAAAACTGCCTAAAACTAATCCAACGTTTTCTGATGGCTCTCAGTTTGACTCGCAGAAAGAAGGTTACTCTGAACCTGTGGAGAAAGATATAAGGAATTGGCTAAAAGGGATCAGAGAGAGTGGGTATGTTTAATCCTTCTCAAATTAGATCTTAACATTTCAGTCTTGAGATGATGATTTCCTAGATTTTTCGTGTTGAATATGATGGCGACATAAGATTCATATAACCAATTCCATTAGTGGGATGGAGGCTAGTCGTTGTTGTTGTTGCTGCTGCTGTTTTTGTTGTATGCTCCACTCAGTTCCCAGGAACCGTTAAGCTACCTATTGAGAATGTCTTTTTTTTTTTCCGGGGGGTCTCCTTTTCTTAGAATGTTGATTATGAATAAGTTGCACACAGAAAATATTCCTTTCTCTTTTTCTCAAAAACATGCTAAATTCAAAGTTCGAAAATGTTCATTGCATGCATTTTCATGAGCTATGTCTCTGATTAGAATTTGCTTTTTTATTGGAGACATAATACATTGGAATGGAAGACTTGCTTTCTGTTCAGAGGAATGTTTATCTTTTGGAAAGAATGGAACCGCATTATTCTCAAATGCATTTTCGGTTTCTAATGCATGCATCTCTTTTTTGCCATTGCTTGACTCCAGGTATGGTGTGTTGGGTTTGTCAGCTACCATTGAGGACTCCATTTTCAAATGCGTGGATTTAAATTCAATTGCTTTAGCATTGGTTGAAAATATACAGTACATGGAGTTCAGACATATACGGCTGCTCGTTCATTCAGTGTTGATTCAGCTAGTGAAAAGCTGTCCTTCAAATATGTGGGATGGATTGTTGCAAAAGCTCTTGCATCCATTACTGTCCCATGCTCAGCAGACCCTTAGCTGCTCGTGGTCTAGTTTGTTGCAGGAAGGTCGTGCAAAGGTTCCAGATCTCCTTGGTATGGAGGGGGGTTCAGACTTAAAAATAGAAGTGATGGAGGAAAAGCTTCTTCGAGATCTGACTCGTGAGGTTTGCTCACTTCTTTCTGTTATGGCTTCATCAAGTTTGAATCCTGGGCTTCCCCTGGAACAGTCTGGACACGCTGGCCGTCTCGATGTATCTAATCGTCAAAGCTTAGATTTATTTGCCTCTAGCTCTATGATTGGGTATGACTAAAGCACTACTTTCACAGAAGTACTTTTTCATGTATGACATGTCATTTCTCAGGTTGATGCTCTGGTTGTATCTTGTATCTCTTTCGCTGATTTTCTAATTTAATTTCAGGTTTCTACTGCACCAAAAAAATCTTGCATTACCTGCGTTGCAAATTTGTTTAGAGGCCTTTAGATGGACTGATACTGAAGCTGTAACTAAAGTTTCTACATTCGCTGGAGCTGTTGTTCTTCTAGCCATTTTGACAAGTGATGCACAACTACAGGAATTTGTTTGCCGAAACTTGTTCTCTGCAATTATAGAAAGCTTAGCGCTTGAATCAAATGCTATTATAAGTGCCACCTTAGTTGGCCTGTGCTGTGAAATCTTCACACACCTCTCCCAGAGAGACCCTGCTCCTAGGGAGGTATGAATTGTAATGCATGAATTTTTATGCATGAGTACTACTGTTGAAACACAATCAACTCTTAGCCTTATTGTTGGCGATTATAGTTTAACTGTTGACTTTGCGATAAATGCAGATTTTACTTTCACTTCCTTCTGTTGCACCACAAGACCTGCTTGCATTTGAAGAAGCCTTGTCAAAAACAAGTAGTACCAGGGAACAGAAGCAGCACATGAGGAGCTTTCTGTCATCGGCTACTGGAAACAAGTTAAAAGCACTGGCTACTCAGAAAAGTGTCAATGTCATTACAAATGTGACATGTAAGATTAGTCTCTACTTCTTTCATTCTCTTAATCCATGGCATGTTTAGATTTTCATGACTCTCCTTTTAATGTAAAATTTGCAATGGGCTATCCTAGGATATGTTTTTTTTTCCAAACTTCTGCTTATTTTTCTTGTGGCTTGGGAAGGGATTTTTGATGGTGACTCTTAAAAGGAAAACTGTTATTCTAGTATCTGAAAGTTCCAGTTGACGGTTTTGTGCTAAAATCCACATGTATTTCAGCAACAGTTTCAGTAATCGTACATCTAAATTCCCAGAAAATGCCTTCCCTTCAAACCTCCGAATGTGTTTTTATTGTGGCAACATATGTTACTGACCATTGAATAAACCCTTTCTGCAGTGAGATCACGCAACTTGGGTGCAGCTCCAGAATCCAACCTTGGTGATGGTGATGCTATTGGATTGGCTGCATTTTTGTAGCGTGATTACATCTATACGTTGAAGATATCTGTACAGGTGGTGAGATTGACTAGCTAGAGAGGTTTACTTTACTCCAGAGATACTATGAGAACTGAGGAGGTCGGCCTTCCATTTTTGCGAGGTCTGCTGGTCCCTTCTGAACTCTTGTAACAGAACTTTGATATCGAATTATAAATCATTTTGTTACTTTTCCTTTGACCTCCAAATAGAATTAGGTTACTTTTTAGTAAAATAGCATGTGATTTTTCAGAAGAAAGGCGGTTGGGTATTTTGAAACCAAACATTGTTGTTTAGCCAATCTCTTATTTTGGTTTTTGTCTCATTTTTCCTTTTTAAACACGCAACCCAATGCACTATCCATACAATATTTAAACTTATTTTTTAAAAAATATTTCAAACTAACTTCTTATTACATTATGCAAACCGAACTCTCACATAAGGGAAGGAAGATTGATCAAGAATCAATGTTCCTTTTACATCACGTGGCAATAAATTAAGACTTGTATACAATTCAGAAGAACCAAGAGCCGTACGTTTAGCTAACTTATCAGTCACCGAATTAGTCTCTATAAATGTGTTACCCGCAACTTATTATTCTGCAATAGAAAAATCATCTCATTAGAAACAGAAAAATATTCCCAAGGGAAGCCTGAACCCTTGTCCAATGTTTCAGCTAGGCCTTTATTGTCTGTCTGAAGCACCACATTAGATATCCCATCAACTCACATCTCCGCAAACCAAAAAGAGTTCCAAATATCTCCGTCTTGTAGCTATCACCATCACCTAGATAACCACATTCCCCTTACACAAAACACCCGCCTTCCCCGCGAATCACAAAATCATAACCCGCTTCATTTGGAGAAGATGATCCGTTAGTGTTTAGAATAAAGGAATTCGGTCCTGGCAGAATCCATGATACCTTCAAAAAATTAGGCCAGATAATGCGACTGTGCTTTATGCCAAAAACCCAAGCAATTAATTCTCCTTCCGCCGCACTTCTTATTTTCAAATTATGAATAATCAAAAGAGAACGAACTTGATTCAAAATAGAACGAATGATTACTTGAAATCTTGGCCGAGAACCCTCATATATAACTTTATTTCACACCTTTCAAATCTCCCAAAGGACTGATGGAATAAGCTTATATAACACCCCAGAAGCTGTTTTGAAGTCTCCTCTACTTCACCACTTCTGAAGCATGACTACGAGAGTACTACATCCCATGACATTAAGCTGCATGAAAGAAGCAAAATCCTACCAAATCTGCCGCACCATTTGGCAACCAAAGAAACAATGCTCCATTCTATCATCGTGATTCCAGCAAAGGCCGCATATGGAAGGAAAGATATGAAACTCCATTCTGCCTAAAAACCTCAGGGAAACTAGGAGATTACCCTTAACTCTAAATTTTAATAGTAAAAAAACAAGGTGATTAAAAAGAAATGTCAAACTAATAAATCCAAAGATAACAAACTGAATTTTTTTTTGAGTAAAAACCGAAAAAACAAATTTGATGTTCAAAAAAACCAACAGCCATGACGAAAAAAACCAATTCACTGAAAATATTGATTTCTTATGTGTTAAAAGTGTAACCATTAATCATTTTTTTAAAATTTTTTTTATTGGTTAGTGTATTGGTTTTTATTTCAGTTGGTGGTAATTTGATTGTAAATTTTTACAATGGTAATATACTTTTTGCCTCTTAACGGGCAATTCCAATAAATGATTGTTGTTGATTATTAGATTATGTAAAAATTACAAAACAAAAAGAAAAGTAAAATCACAACAATACTACAAATAGTATAATCATATATTAATCGTCCAAAATTTTAATAATATAATATATGATTACTAATAAATTAATATAATAATATAATATATTCATTATTTTTTTTTTACATAATATAATGGTAGAAAGAGTTTACATTATGATGACAAACCCAAACTTAGAGATCAATCGGAGAAAATTTTTTAAAATGAGAAAAAGAATAAAAGCCTTTATGAGAGACAAATAGTAAAAAGTATATGGGGAAATTAAAAAATATATACGGAGGAACAAATTATGTAAAGAATAAAAAAATATGAAAAAATAAACTGAGATAATAGTGAAAAATAAAATATTATTACAAATTTTCAAGAAATTATGCTTTAAAGAGAGAAAATCATATTTTCACCAAAAAAAAAAGAGAGAGAGAGAACATCAAATTTAGAAAAAAAAAAAGTGAAGGCTATGCAACTGAAAAAATGAAGTAAACATTATATTAAGAAAAAATATACGAACAAATTTCTGAAGAAAGGTTTTAAAAGGTATATAGAGAGATTGAAAATAAAGATTTGTTTATGGAAAAAAGATGAGAAAATTTTATGTTATAGGGAAAGTTTAAAAAATATGACACATGTAGAAATATTTAGAGAGATCATTATGTAAAATTAAGAGAATACTTTTAAAAGAAATACAGACATAAATCAACAAAACACAAAAGATGGATAATAAATTACATTAGATGACTTTGTATATTAAAAAATTGATCCAATTGTAATTAAAATAACAAAACACATTGACAAACAAAATTACATTTACACATTATATCATTAATATTATTTTTCTTTATTCATAAATCACTCCGTCCGAAATGCCATATAATCGTTAAATCATTAAGCTCATATATATATTGAACAACCCACACGTTAACACCAGTCTCTCTTTCTCTCTCTCCCTCTATATATATATACATATATATATATATATATATATATATATAAATATAGAAAATTCTACAGTCCAGTCGTTAGTTTTTAACTGAACCAATAATTAAAAACATAACCAATTAAAACTTGACACATCATCTATGACTATAGGGTGAGAAGTAGATGATAACAGCCATATTAATCTTTTAACCTGCCATTAAATTTTTGGGTAATTTCATGTTTTCTATTAAGATGCTCTCACCGGAAACGGAAGTAACCAATTGAGAAATGGGATATGAAAAAGTTTGTTGATTAATCAGTGAAATAAACTTCCATTTGTTTAACACGTTGATTAATCATATATAATAGCATCCATTTTTTCTTTATCAAACTCATAAACCCCCCTTTAAGAAGCATCGTAGGGTCACCAGAATAAAACACAACTGCTAATGGCCATCTTGAGGAGTTTTGTCTTGCTATTTATTCATCGATTAGAATTAGGCAAATTACAAAAAAAGGGGACAAACCTAATTTGATGATTACAATTCAAAACCTCTAGTCTAAATTTCATGTTGAATAGCTATAGCCCTTGACGGACGATGAAGAAACAATTATCTCATGTGTCGTATGCACAAAAGAAACGTGTTTTATGGTAGTAATTAAATGAAATGAGTTTGATTGGAAATTTATTCGGTGCGTTTGAGTATTTTTTAATTATGTGGTACACCATACTTAATTTAACAGTTAAAATTCTTTCTTATAATCTAATTGTTAATATTAGTCAAATGAACGGTTCAGTCGACTGGACTGTAGCCGTTCCCTACATACATATGTGTGTGTGTGTGTGTGTGTGTGTGTGTGTGTGTGTGTGTGTGTGTGTATAACATTAAAGGAGAGTTTTCATTTGGACATAACGGAAATTTAGACATGATAGTCAATATGAAAAAAAAATTAGATAGTCAAGTCAACATGTCACATCCACAACACTCTTTATTTTGATGGTAACTCTTTAATGTAAAATTATAAATTTATAGATAAAACTAAATTAACTGATTATTATCCCTTAATGATAAATTTTAACAGTAAAAAAGAGAAATGACCAAAAAAAAAAAAACACTAGTAAATCAAAAGATAACAAACTGAAATAAAAAAAAAATCCAAAAAACCAATTTGATGTTAAAAAAAAAAACATCGATTGCTATGATGAGAAAAATCATGTTCACCGATTAATATTGATATCTATAGTTTTTTTTTTTGTTTGAAAAACTAGGCAGATGTTGCCAGATTACAATGGATTACATGTCCAAAATTAGTAGTTTCTTCTCATTAGGTCACGGATGTACAAAAATATTGAGAAATCATCATTTCACTAGAGACCAGATGCTGTCATACTGGTCAACCTAAAAGAAACCCTAGCTAACTCCCTAATAAGTGGTATAATTGGTTCGAGGTGCTTAAATCTTTACTATAATTGTCCTGCTCCATTGTCTTATGAAGATGCCTAATCGCAAAGCTGATGTCTTAGTGTCTCATTGTAGCATGCAACCCCAGCTGGACCAATGTGCCACACATTAATGTCTCCACCAGAACATGGGTCTTTGGTTGCTTTGCTTATTAGCCAGTTTGCTTTCTCGACAGCCTCCACAAGTGACATCTTTGATGTTTTAAGTTCATCTAAATGTTCCTGAACATAAGGTTGGCCGGATCCAATTGCTAATTTTTTTCACTGCAAACTAACTCCCATCCATTTTAATATAACAAATTTGACTGTTTCCCTGTTGGTTATCCCAACCCGCAATTATTGCATGAATTTTATAAGGTTCTAATGCATTCTTTGGTTGGAGAATTTGCTTTGTGATGATAGCAAACTTTAAAAACACAGGAGGAGAAACATCAAATCCTGGAGGACGATTGTGGTTTCTAATTATTCAAATTTTATTTTCCGATTGGTGAAGAAACTGAGGATATTCTAGTACTACTTTTTTTTTTTGCTAGTGCTTATCCTCCAATTGAATTATAACTAGTATGTAAATCGTGCGTTACACGGCGGATATTAAGATTCTATTATATGAGAAATGTATAAAAAATAATATTTATTGTACATGTAACAATTAAGTATAAAAATTGAATTACATTTTTATAATGAAATTATCACAATTGCGACTGACCTTGCCTCTTTTGATTGTCATCGCAAAGCATTCGATGATCGGGAATTGCCTTCGCTCAAGAGGATTGGGAATTACCTTCGCTTAAGAAGAAGAACAAAAAAATTCTTTATTTTGTGAACTTATCGTGATTGTGACTAACCGGC